GAAAAAAAAAAATTTGACCTCTGGACTTGTCTTCACGGCGAAAATGGCTACCGAATGCTTTTTTCGTGTGAAAATTCTCGAGTTTATTATTTATATTATATTTAACTTTATAATTCTATAACTTATTGAAAAGTTTATGGATCTACACAATTTTTTTATGACAAATAATATTTTTTAATAAACCCTGTTTCATTTACCATACTTTATCTTTATCGAGATATTAATAAGGAACCAGCAGATCAAGTAGCTTTTGGAATAAAACACCAATTTTTTTAAAATTAAACACTATCTAAAGATTTGCATCGAAGCGTTTATTTTTGATAGTGATTTTAATCACTGTCAGATATCATTTACTTGATCCAACTATGCCACGTCACCACTGTGCCGCGACCTCCCTGTGCTGGGTTTTTTTTTTTTAATTTTATAGTACATGACATAAGCTTTAATTTGACATATGTTTAAAGGACGTAGTATTTCCGGAACATTTTCAAAAGTTCGGTTGAAAAAGTTAGTTTTTATAAAAAAGTAGCTATTTTAAATCCCCCCTGTGAGCAGAATAAGTCTTAGATTTTCAAAAAAAATGATATCAAACGAAAGGAAATTATTTAAGGTTTCAATATAAAAAATATTATTTTGATTTGTTAATATTTGAAAAAGTTATGGCAGTTTTAAGTACAAAAAACATCATTATAGAACGTGATTTTTATCGCAAATATTACATTTTTTTTTAAATTTTGACAGTAATTTGCACATAGTAGATAGGTCGTCGGGACAAATTTTTTTTTTTTCATTTTATAGTACATAAAATAAGCTTTAATTTTATATATGTTTAAAGGACGCAGTATTTCCGGAACATTTTCAAAAATTAAGTTGAAAAAGTTAATTTTTGTAAAAAAGTTGCTATTTTAAATCCCCCCTGTGAGCAGAATAAGTGTTAGATTTTCAAAAAAAAATGATATCAAATGAAAGAAAATTACCTAAGGTTTCAATATAAAGAAATATTATTTTGATTAGTTAATATTTGAAAAAGTTATGGCAGTTTTAAGTACAAAAAACATCGTTATAAAAGGTGATTTTTATCGCAAATATTACATTTTTTTTATAATTTCGACAGCCATTTGCACATAGAAGATAAGGTGTCGGGACAAATTTTTTTTTTTCATTTTATAGTACATAAAATAAGCTTTAATTTGATATATGTTTAAAGGACGCAGTATTTCCGGAACATTTTCAAAAATTAAGTTGAAAAAGTTAGTTTTTGTAAAAAAGTTGCTATTTTAAATCCCCCCTGTGAGCAGAATAAGTGTTAGATTTTCAAAAAAAAATGATATCAAATGAAAGAAAATTACCTAAGGTTTCAATATAAAGAAATATTATTTTGATTAGTTAATATTTGAAAAAGTTATGGCAGTTTTAAGTACAAAAAACATCGTTATAAAAGGTGATTTTTATCGCAAATATTACATTTTTTTTATAATTTCGACAGCCATTTGCACATAGAAGATAAGGTGTCGGGACAAATTTTTTTTTTTCATTTTATAGTACATAAAATAAGCTTTAATTTGATATATGTTTAAAGGACGCAGTATTTCCGGAACATTTTCAAAAATTAAGTTGAAAAAGTTAGTTTTTGTAAAAAAGTTGCTATTTTAAATCCCCCCCAATGATCAGGTTAAGTGTTAGATTTTCAAAAAAATGATATCAATTGAAAGGGAAATGTCTAAGGTTTTAGTATAAAAAAAATTATGTTGATTTGTTTATTTTTGAAAAAGTTATGGAAGTTTTAAGAAAAAAAAGTGAAAAAANAAGTTACGGCAGTTTTTAGTAAAAAAAATTGAAAAAATTTCGAAAATTAGCGATTTTTAAATTTGTAATTTTTTTGGAGGTTTCCCCCATTTGCGGGCAACGAGGGAAAATTTTTTAATTTTTAAGGGTAATGTCTTCAACTAGATACGATTTGTGATCTTTTGACGTATTGTTGAAAGAAATCGGTCCAGTGAGAGCTGAGAAAAAGTGGCAACAGTCATAAAAAAAAAAAAACACATCATAGTAAAATTAATACCTTCTCAGCTTCGCATCGAAGCTAAAATATAAAACCTATAACTTTGACACAAAAACAGCATATTTTTGAATATGCTGACGAAATATTAGAATACTAGGTTATTCTTTTAATTCTCGTTAGTATACGGTGAATATTTTGGTGTAAATTTGGTGAAAATTGTAATACAAAAATAGCTGGTTTTTAACTACGACAGCTATTTGTGAATAGAAAATAAGTCGTCGGGACAAATTTTTTTATACAATTTATAGTGCGCACCATAAAATTTAATTTAACATATATTTAAAGGACGCAATATTTCCGGAACATTTTCATAAACACATAATAGTAAAATTAAAATCTTCTCAGCCTTGTATCGAAGCGTAAATGAAGTTGATACCCTTAGAAATACAAGGTGTTTAGTTAATCATATACTTAATCATATATATTATACTGTAAATAAATACAACGTTAGAAAATTTTTTTTATATTTCTTTTAGTTACATATTCTTTGATTTATGACTAATAATAGCTATTTAGAATCACTCCTTATAACTCCTTATCACTCCTTATTTTTAAAAACACAACATACATGAGATTTATATATTCAAAATTCATCTTGAATTTTTAAAATGGAAAAAATAAAAGCTTTGTAGATAAGTAATAACAACATTTATAAAAAAAGTATTATTTATATTAATTTATAAATTGTATGGCCAATAATCAATCATGTAAAGAGGTTTATACTTTGATTGATATTCAAAAGAACCATTTGTATCCATATTATTTTCATCGCCTTTATCATTTAGATTCTCTAAGTTTAATTCTATAATACTATCATTCACGTCATCTTTATCTGTATAACATCCTATATCGATTTTATTATTATCATTCGTACTAGCGTTGTATATTTCAGAATGTGCTTCAGTATTACAAATACGATCTAAAGTAAATAAAATGATGAATTGAAAAAATGCAAATAATTGATTAAGTCAACAAAATATTTAGAAATATAGATTTCTAAATTAAATTTTACATATTTCATTAAATTATTAGATTTGACGATCAGTTAAATGTGTATAATAGAAAAATATATATTTAAAAACCTAATAAAAATTAAATTAATTTTTATCGCTAAATAGTATTTAAAAATTATTATAGAATATAAGATCAAAATTATCCAGTTCCAAATATTTAAAAATTAAACATAAAAATTTGCTTCTTTTCAATTAAAAAATCAACTTCCCACATTTAGTAGATATTTGGAGAAAAACAAAATGTATAACAAATTTTTTATTATCTATTTAGACCATAGAAATTATTAAAAATTGAAATTATAAAATATGTTATATGATTATTATGTTGGACAGGCAGTAATCTTCAATCATTGTTCAATTGAGGTTTATCGTAATTTATATAAAATTCAAAAATTAGTAGTTAAAGAATATTATAAGATTACAATTATTATAAATATGAATTTTTGAAAAAAATAATTAATAAAATATTTATTTACTATTTCGCATATTTTGAAGTGTGTATTGACATTTTCAGGAGATAAATCTCATTATTAACAGAGATGTGCAACTCACAAAGTATTAATTTTACTATTATGTGATTTGTGTATTTAATTTTTTGAATCTGTTACCACATTCTCTCAACTCTCTCCGAAATTTAATTTTAACTAATTTTTTTCTTGTTATATTTTATACGATAATATTCTTTTTTAGCTAGTTTGTATTAATATCAAAAATTAGTGATGATTAAAAAAAATTAAATGCAGATTTGAAATTGGCATAAAAATGAATTTAGAAATCTATTTTTTAGTAGCGGATGAAAATTCATTGGTAGACCAGTAAATTTGTTCATAAGTATTAAACAATTTTTTTTTGAAAAGTGTTGAAACAAACCCTTTAATTTTTATATACGTTTTCCATAAAAGTAACTACATTCTATGAAAACTTACAGTATTGAATTTATAAAATTAAGTACTAAATTTATTTAATATAATTAAGGATATAGGAGCTAATATTGGTTTTGAAATAATCCACCAAATTCTTAAAATTAAACACAATCAACAGATTTGCATCGAAGCATTCTTAGCTTTGATGCAAAGTTGAGAAAGTTTTAATTATACCATGATGTGTTAATTTTTTTATTTAGTGTCTATCACTACTTTTTCTTAGCTATAACTGGACGATTTTTCTGAAAGATTCTTCAAAATATCACATATCATATCTTTTCCTTCGTTCCTCATAGATAGTGGAAATCGCCCAAAAAATTACGATTTATTATTTTCACTTTTTTTTTCTATAAATTGCATAATTTATTGAAAAATTACTAAATAAAAATAATTTTTTTTTTCATATTGAACCTTTTTATTTGATATTATATAATATTTTTAAAATCTGACCCTTTACCTGCCCACAGAAGGGGATTCAAAATAGTAACTTTTTTACAAAACTCAATTTTTTCAACTTAACTTTTGAAAATATTCCGGAAATATTGTATTTTAAACATATGTTATATTTAAGCTTACATTATGTACTAGAAGTTTAAAAAAAAAAATGTATAATATTTCTATTTTCCTTATTGACTTTTAATAATTGACCTACTTTCTGTGTGCAAATAGCAGTCGAAATAGTACAAAAAATAGAAGTTATTTTTGCTTTTGAAATAATTCACCAATTTCTTAAAATTAAACACTATTTACAGATTTCCATCGAAGCGTTTCTTATGATAGTGATTTTAATCACTGTCAGATATCATCTAATCTTGTCACACTATGCCACGTCCATAATGTACCACGATCTCACTGTGCTCTCGATTTTTATCTTATTATTTAATTATTTTTTTGAACTTTGCATTATATGCACAATTAACATAACCCAGCACAGTGAGGACGTGTAATAGTTGGGTCCAGTATAGATTTAATCTGACAGTGATTAAAATCACTTTCGTGTTTTTTTATGATAGTGCTTCGATGCAAATCTATAGATAGTGTTTAATTCTAAGAAATTGGTAGATTATTCCAAAAGTTACATGATTTGCTATTTTCTTATTTATATCCTGAATACAAGTTTTATGATTTAAAGTGTAATAAATGTATAAAAATTTATTATAGCAATTAAATATAGTATAAAATAAATAATTAATAATGTAATATTGTAATATTTACGGAGAAATTATAAATAATTATAAAGTAGTTATTACTTTTAAGGCAAGCTTCTATAAAATTTGAAAGGTTTTATGCGATTCTAAAATAAATATTGTTTGTTTTTTATAATTAAATTTACTGGTGTACTAGGACTTTTCATTTGAACCAAAATATACTTTTCCAAACCCATTTTTGCGCCGATTTCAAATCTGCATTTAGAGTTTTATATATGAACTAAATAATAACAATACAAACAATAACAAACAATAAAATCCTTCTAATTAATATTAAAAATATTTATGTTTGATTATTAAGTTACGTGTGAATAATCAATAAATATATTAATTAAAAATAAGAAACAGTTCTACTTTCTATACGCATTTTTAAATTTTGAACCACCCCTCTATAAAGGGAAAAAATTATGTCGCATAAAAGAAGTATATAAATAATACTTATTATAAAAAATTGTAATGATCCATACATTTTTCAAAAAGTTATAGCTTTATAAAGTCCGAAATTTGTATTTTTCATATTAAAGTGTAATTTATAAGTTTTAATTTAAAATATAAAATTTTGAGATTTTCCGGAACATTTCAAAAATTTAAGTTGAAAAAGCTAATTTTTTGTGGAAAATTTATCATTTTGAATACAAAATTATACAAAATGATAGGTAAATACTTAATGTATCAATAAAAAAAAATTTTTACAATACATCTAATTTTGAACAAATTTCAAAAATTAGCGATTTTTAAAATTGTACTTTTTTATAGTTTCTCCTATTGACGAGGTACAAGGGAAATTTTTTTGACTATTTACGATTTGTGATAATTTGACGCATCGTTTAAAGAAATTGGTTCGGTGAGAACTGAGAAAAAGTAAACGGACAAAAAAAAAAAACACATCATAGTAAAATAACTTCTCAACTCAATCGCATCGAAGCTAATATGAATTCCTAAACATTTTCGATAATATTTGATAGGACTTTTATAAATTATTTCACATCATATAAGTACGAGAATGACATTTTAAAGTGAGGAATCTCATTAATTTTATTTACTTATGTTTAATTATTTCTTGTACTTTGTACTGTATACACCACGACGATTATAGTGCTTAGCTATTTTTTGTTAAATACATAGCAGATTATATTCTATATCAATAATATAAAATATTGAAAAAAAAATATTATTTTCACTTACCTATAACTTTGAAATCAATAAAATTTCTAAAACTTGCAATATTATAATATCGAATCTTAAAACTTTTTACAATAAAATCAAAAGAGTCGTTCCATTTTTTCAAATCGTTTATATATATTTCGACTTTTTTCATGATATTTTCTAACTCAATTATTATTTCATCAGCATTACTTTGAGTTATAAGTTCATTGGTTAAAGTTATATTGCTTGTAAAGTGTAATTTATTTTTTTTTAAATAATTTGAAAGTGATTTAATTATCATATTATTATACTTAATATCAATTTCAGATAACATTATTTTATCAATATAATTTTTTAAGGCATTACAAAATGTTACTAAGATTTCGTTTTGCAGATATGACCGCCTATACTTGTACATGGGGAGAGAAAGAACATCTATTACATAATTGATTATATTTTGACCCATTTTAATTAGTGTTGGTTTTATCCAAAATTTTACGCTTTCGGAATATTCTGAAGATGCAACTTGAATTAAAGTTAAAAAGTTGCGAATAAGAATAGCTATTGGTCGAAACGTTGCAATTATTACCATCTTTATGTATGGATAAACATCCTTAGAATTAAAATCATATTTCATATACTCAAATATGTCTTGTATAGTTAATCGAGTACCATTAGAGCATTTAAAGTTAAGTGGAGTGAATCGAAGTAGATTTAATTCTATGCGTTGACTACTATCTATTTTTATATTATTTTTGTTGGTGAGAATCTGTTGGGTCATTATATCGTAAAACAAAATATTTTTTGGATGAAAACTTTTGTATGAATTACTTTTTACTATTGATTTAAACGTCTTTAGTATTTTATTCTTGAGATTCTCATTTGTTTTTAATGGATTAATAGCAGTACATTTCATTTCACTCATTGGAAAATAGCTACTAACCATATTATCATTAAATGATATGTTTTTACAATGTCCATTTATGTAATCTGTTAGTTCTTCTTTAATTGCAAGGTGAATACTTTTATAGCCTTCTAATAATTTTTGAGCATCATTTTTTTCATCGTCATTTTGTACAATCATATTTAAGGAGTCAGAAACGTTATTTAAGTACATATTTACTGTGATCAAAGTAAAAGGAAACCCTTTTGAATTATAGTTTGTTAAGTTATTCAAAAATATCATAACTACTTTACTGTGTGTTTGCAGTGCCTTACCATAGTTCATAAGATTTTCGATTGTGATATAATCTTTATTATTTTCGATTTCTAACAAAAATCTTTCATTATGGTTAAAAAAGTGTAGAAAATAATTAGTATGGGAGCATAATAAATATCTTACGTAATAACTTAAGCTTAATTTAATGGACATCATTAATATAAAAAGTAAAAAATATTTCATTTTGCCACTTACTTTTACAATGTTGATTCTCAATCTAAAAATTTTTTACACTTGTGAAAAATATGTTGAAAGTAATTTTTATAAAATTTAATGACACATTTGTTTAATTAATCATTGGAATAAATTTATTTCATTTATGTATACGTGTTCACCATACATTATATTTACTTAATTGTTCAACTAATGTAGTTATTAGATCTATAAACTCAATTTAAAAAATTATACTGTAATCTACTAAATAAATAATATTTATTTTTAGCTTTGCAGTCGTTTACATATAGAAGACCATTTGTCAGGAAAATTTTTAGCTTTGATGTGAAACTGAGAGAGATTTTATTATGTGATAACGTACATCCTTTTTGTAATGTGTACAACAATACTAACATATTTAAAATATTATTTTTGAAAACTTGTGACTCGATGTGTCTTCTTGAAATTTTCCAACCTTTAATTCCTGCTAGTTCCTCGAAACTAACAATAATATATTTACTAAATATATTATTTTGTTATAAAAAAGTTGATTTTCAAAATTTTAATTAGAATCTTTATATGTTAAAATAGGCATTTTATGAGGATTTGAGATTTTTAAAAATTTTTTTTGCTCAATGTGTTTTTAGTATTTTGATCAAATATCCTCCAAAATACAAAAGAGGCCTCTGTTATTAGATTTTCGATCAAATATTATAATGAGTACATCAAAATAGTTTGATTTTTACTATACAACATACAATTTTATTAGTTTCAAATTTTTAAGTCAAAAATTGATTCTTTGGATTAATGTCTTATTTCTATTAAATCTCAAGTAAGCTTAAAATTTTTAAAAGTTTTTTCTTATGCATTTTGGTTGATATTTATGTATATTATAAGTAGAAAAAAAAAATTATACACTTAACTTAAAAACTTATACCTTTTTTAAAAATAGTAAAGTGTAAGCTAAAATATATGATAATATTGACAATATTTACAAATGTTGGTTGATAATTAAATACTTTACAATTATTTCTTTTATTAAACAATTAATTTATACAAATATAATAAATAAAGAGAATACAACTTTATGTTATGATGAAATTATACAATAACCTAACCAAACCTAACCATGATGTACGACATACTAAAAACACGTTAAGCGACCAGTTAAAATTTTTTTTACAAATCTCAAATCATCACATAGTGCCTATATTTGCACATAGTGCAACTTTTTTACAAAAACTAACTTTTTCAACTTAGTTTTTGAAAATGTTCCGGAAATACTGCGTCCTTTAAACATATGTCAAATTAAAGCTTATGTCATGTACTATAAAATTAAAAAAAAAAATTTGTCCCGACGACCTATTTTCTATGCGTAAATGGCTACCGTATTCAAAAATATGCTATTTTTGTGTTAAAATCCTGGGTTTTGTATTTTATTTTATTTTAAAATATCTTATTAGGAGAATATATTGATTTTCATGAATATTATATCAATTAATTGACATAGAAAAAAGTTCATAAGACATAAGAAATTAAACTTATTAAATTTTTTTTACTTTTATAAAGTCGAAAAAGTAATTTTTAAATTTGAGTTAGCATAATTAGCCAATTTTTTTTTTTTGAGTTAGAATAGAATTTTCAAATCATTTGATATTTATCTCATTTAGATTCAATAACATCAATAAATATAAAGGATTTTATCACTATCGTCTCCCCTCGTGAGAAGAAATTTATATTCATATTAATATTATTTTACTATGTGGTTATTTTTGTGGCTACGATTTATTTTGCCAACCCTCACTGGACCTACTTTTTTCAACGATACGTCAAATGATTACAATTCGTATTTAGTTCAAGTTATTACTCTTAAAAATCGAAAAAATATTCTTTATTCAAATAAAAAGTAGATTAACCAGCTTTTTCCATACAAAAAATTAAAATCATTAATTTCTAATGTTTTCAAAATATTTATTAACGAATGAAGTTTGATATGATAGGTTTCAACTACAAAATTAAATCATTTTACTTTGTAATTTAATAAATTTTTTACTGTATTTGTGTGTGCTACTACTAGACTATAATATTACAAATATTTTAAAATATTTTTAATAAAAAATTTTTTCTTNATTTTAAAATATTTTTAATAAAAAATTTTTTCTTAATTCTTTTTAAGCTAGAATAAATTTTCAACTCCTTTGATTTTTTTCTCATTTAAATTCAATAACTTCAATA